ACACACAGACAACCTCTCGTCAATATGCGTTTTTCGCATTGCACTGCTGCAAAAAACACATAAAAATGCGAACAACAAACGACTCATAAGGTATAACAAGGAATGTTTTCTTCAGTCAAATGAAAAAGAGAGGTGCGAAGGGATGTCAAAAGTCAAGCATCTTCCGTATTCAGAAGCATCCCGAACGGCTGCAAACGCCACCAGCACCCACCTGCTAGAAAAGCATTCGATAGCCCATCTTTCGACGGTTGTTTACAGCAGGCTGATGGCGGTTCTGACTTCCTGGCATATGCTACTAAAAAAGGGACTGGTTGTCCCACCGGTGGAATTAAATCCTCAACTTAAAAAAGACAACACTGCCACTTCCCAATGTGCCATGCGTGTGAAGTGGTGCATAAAGCGAAAAATGTTACCATCTGAAGATTTTGTGCGACAGCAAGAGCCAAATTTAAATCGTAAGTCTGAAGTGCCACTCGGAAAAGATCTGCGGCCGGAGCAAGCATCGATACAAATGCAGTCCACTTCTTCTCCAGTTCTATCCCATTATGAACTGAAAAAAAAAAAAAAACACTGAAGCACATAAAGAGAACTGTTGAAAAAAAGCCTCAGACGTTCGGAATTAAAAGCCTCAGACGTCCAGAACTGTGTACGACAAATCGCACCGGTTAACTACAGAAAAGAAAGTAGGCAATTTTTCAATGTTAACGGTTACTTACCCCATCACAATTACTTTCAAGGAGCATAAAGGAAGGAAATTCGCGAAAAATTAGCCAGGTATCGGTTTTCAGAAACGTGAGCCCACGTAACCAAATTTATGCCACCTAACTTAATTTTATACAGGTGGTGGTGAAGGCATAATACAAAGCGGATAAGACGATCTAACATAAAGATGTAAAAAAGAAAATCCATTTCTATCAAACAGTGAACTACACGCACTCGTCACAGCAGCATTACTCAAGCCCTGACCACAACGTCGTTAACGGACCAATCGTTCACTTGAATCAGAATCTGTATAAATTCTACAAAAATGATAAATCCAATATTAATCTCATTTCAGATCTGCATAGAACAGCTTGTCAAAAAAGCTCACTCAAAAAGCAGCCGCAATTGCTGTCGCGGATCATCCATACAGAGTTAATTCATTACCCTTTCCCTTCAACAACTTACATTTTAAGGATTTTTTGCGTAACTCCAGCAACGCTTTCGAGATCTGAGGCGGATTTTCTTTCAAATAAGTAGATATCACGGTGGTATACAGTTCGCGAACAGTAGATTCGTCACGAGACAAGATATGCTCCCGGACGGCAGTACACACAAGCTGGACCTGAAAAACCGGCTACTTCTTTAAAAGCAGAAATTATTTTGATAAATGCTAATTTCCTGCTTAAAAAGAACGCCCGCTATTGCATCAACACACCTGCTCCGAACAAGTGATACCACAACCGGAAAAGCCGAATGAATTTTGAGCATTGGGGTTGCAACAGCAGTCGAGTTACTCAGTTGCTGATATGGA